GGCAAGAAAATGTGGCTAGATTCCTCCAGCAGCTGGTGGAAGTAGAAGCAGACACCCACAAGCAATCACTGAACTGAGCTGGAATCCAGTTGCAGAGAAGGATGAGCAATGGGGTCCAGACCAGGCTGGTGAAACCCACAGAAACAGCTGACCTGAACAACGGGGAGCTCTTGGTCCCCAGACTGATAGCTGGGAAACCAGCATGGGACTGATCCAGATCCCAGGAACATAGGTTTCAGTGAGGAGACCTCGGAAATCTACTGTAGATCCTGTAGAAGTTCAGTACTTATCCCTAGCATAGGTGTGGACTCTGGGAGCCCATTCCACATAGAGGAATACTCCCTGAGCGAAGACACACGGGAGTGGGCATAGGCCCTATCCCAAAGGATATGATAGACTCTGATGACACCCTATGGAAGGCCTCACCCTCCCTGGGGAGCAGAAAAGATATGTGATAGGTAGGGTTTTAGTTGGTGGGTGGCAGGGAAGGAGGGGAGAGAGAGGGAACTGGGATTGACATGTAAAACAATCTTGTTTCTAATTCAAATAAAAAATCTGAAAAAAAAAAAAAGAATAGGTGGCTAGAGCGTATAGAGACCCTGAGGGTGACCCTGTAAATGTTGTTATTCAGCCAAATGGACATAGAAACAAACTTCCCTAAGCTCTCATTTTTATGCTGTGGGGTTAGTCTATCTCTCAACCCTCCTCAGAAAAGTTTCTTTGTTCCAGTCTATGGTGATCAACTCGGATGCCCACAATCATTCAAGGTGCAGAGGATGAGAGACTCTGGAGGGCCCGGCTAAAATGGCTATCATCCATATCATACTGTTTCCTCACAGTAGCCAGAGATCATCATCAAAGAAGAGGCCGAGAGAGTAAGAATCAGAGGTGGAAAATGATTCCAAGGAAACAGGTTTGCACAGACAGATTGGGGCACTTACACACGTGAAATCACTTATTAGGACAGTACGCACAAAACCTGCCCAAGATCAAGAAAACAAAATCCAAACAGTGGAAACGGCAGGAGGTCCAACTCATAGCTGAAGAGCTTGTTGGCCGCAGAAAGCTTCTGGGAGAGGAGGTGTGTAAGGATTCTACTACTAACTGGCTACCAATGCTTTCAACAGGTGCCCCTGCACCAGGCACATGCTAACTCAGTCTTTCTTTTGAACACATGAAACTTGGAGAGGATAGCTGTGGGGGGGTAAGAAATGGATTTGAAAGCCCATAGTGTGCGTAGGCTTGACAAAAATACATAAAAGTATGACATACTCAAAGAAATATTTAAGCAATGAGTGTTCTAATCCCTTTACAAAACAACTTAGTTGATTTCTATTGGACGAATTCCTTAAAGCCTGGATCCAATGAGACAGAGAGACTTCTCTAACTTTCGCACAAATCTGACCTCAAAAGTTTCTAGCACCTTCCATAGGAGACTTGGTCAGCCTTCCGGGATTATTATGAAAATTCAAGGCCTCCTCAGAATATCCTGTCTCTTTGGAGATATTTACATGAAACCCTTAAGTATCTATGTTAAGAAGTAACTGGGGAAACTTTGACAAATGATTTAGTCTCCCAAAGCCAGGGCTATCATTACCACTACAGGAGAAATTAAAAGTGCAGTTCTGGAGGAGGTGAGGTCACACAAATATCTACCTCGGGTTTTGAGCTGACTGTCTTACAGCACTGTTTATTAAGAGTCTGGATCTGCCCAATGAACCCACCATCCCACAGAGACAAGAAGCCAGGTGAGTACTGTGTATTTCAGTCTGAGTGGTAGAACCAGCAAAGAAGAGAGGCCCGAGTTAAGTGTTTATATCTGTTAATGGTATCTGGGGTAGAAACTGATCCAGGGAACACACAAAGAAGGCACAAAAAATAATTCCATATCTAACAGATGAGTGAGAAAGATAGAAGTGTTCCTAACCCTGTGCCAGTCGCTGTCATTTATTACCGTAATATAAGTCCTCAACAAAGAGTGACTGTGGTTAACACCAGGGTAATGCAACCCATCCATGAATGTGCTGAAGGACTGTTGTAAAAAGTCATTGCAAAAATTCACCCGTGTAGACTAACCTTGCAGATGTTATAATTATAGGCAAGCTTACCATGGTTTCATGAAACAGTAAATACATTGGAAATACATGAAGCTCCCAGCCTTGCAAGATACAGGATGGGAGCCTGCTTCTAGAGTAAAACATATTCTTGTGTAATACTGTAGTTATTGTCTGCTTATAAAGGTGGTAATTGAGTCTGTTTTGAATGGTCATTAATTCAGTGACTGGTTGCACACCTCACACTAGAGCTTGGAAGATAACACTGAAGGAAAGGTATAGTATGATGGTCAGGCAATGGCAGCTAGGACCAAATGTGTCTTTGAGTTCTCTCTCCTGGTTTAATCATACTCTAATGTTAAGTATAACCTAATGGCATACCTTTGATCATTGTTTATCATTGTTGCTAATGGAAAACAGGGTGGATTTATGCATGGCAGGCTGGGCCTCTAGCCCTTAGCTTCCTTTGTGTCTACACTTAGCTCTTTGTTTTAATGTGGACAGTGATAAAATTTTCATGTTTTTCAGACTTCTTTTTACTCATGAATCTCTTCTATTTGAGTATATTATAAATTTTATTGCAATGAATTCATCAATATGTAAAGTAATAAGCATATACACATTTCTAAATGAAATATTTTAGTAACTTAATTTTCTTCTCATACTATTGCAGCAGACATTGGTATTTCGTGTTGCATATATACAGGGTTCTGGTGTCAGCAATTCATCTGTAATTACAACTATAGCTTTTACTCCTGTGAGGAAAACAATGCATATTTTTGGTGACATCATCAACGCCAGGTCCATTTTGTACTGGTTAAATGAAGCTGGGAAATGTCACAGCTTTCTATCATGAGAGGCCATCCTTAGAACACAGAATTTTAGTACAATCTCAAAAGCCTCCTTTGCACTTGGTATTTGCCTATGAAATAAGACTTCATATCAAAATGAAAACTTATTTTTAAAAAGATTTATTTATGTATGTATTATTTAGTCTGCATGAACGTTTTGCCTGCATGTATGCATTTGTACTTTGAGAAGGCATCACAGGTAAAGGACGGAAGAGGTTCACAGAACTCCCCAGAGCTGTGGTTAACAGGCAGTTGCAAGCCACCATTCTGGTTTCCAAAACCACACCCAGGTCCTCAGCAACAGCTGCTGAAACTGACTCAATCTAATAACCCCAAATGAAGCTTCTGACCATGAAAACCATACAGTAAAATACCAACAAACCAAACAAAATGTCAGATTACAAGGGCAAATTGCAGGTAAGGCTAGAGTCTGTCTGAGAACAAGTTTCATGGCCTTGTGATCACAGACTTAGTTGACTCTGTTTGGGCCACACTAGCCATGTTCAAGTTCTCCCAGGATCCACTCTGGCACACTAGTTTGGGATTTATAGAGTAACTTACCCCTTGTCTTCCTAAGACCAGGTATTTAGTGGAAATAAGGCTTACAGTGCATTTCAAGCATAATAATCAAAGAAGGTGTCAGGCTAACAGGAGAGTAGTGATTGTCTTCTTCAGCATAGCCATATGGAATTCTCTTCTTTTAAATGACCTAAGAAAAAAACACTTGAGAGTAACTCCCTGGAATGTCAGATAGAAGTGAATCTACCAATGTGGAATGTATTTTGTATCATCCAGTAATATTAGCTATAGGAAGGTCATTTTTAAGGCAGATATTTGGTTTTCTTGTTGTTTTTTAAATAAATTTTATTTAAATTAAAAACAATCTTATATTACATACCAATCCCTTGTCCCTCTCCCTCCCATCATCCTCCCATGCCCCCACTAACCCCCATCTCACCACACACACACACACACACACACACACACACACACACACACACACACACACACACACACCACACACACACACCCCCACACCAACACACATTTGTGTGCCTAGGCTGAGAGAGTATCCCTCCATGGATAATGGGCTCACAAAGTCCATAAGATACCATACTTAAATTATGATTATGTAAGTTGCCACTTGAATCACTATCAAGTGTGTACTGTGTTCTTAATCAATTCTTATGTAAGATGATTGGGGTGTTGAAACCCAAAGATCATTCAAGAACATCAAAGTCCAAATTGAGAGTCAGCCTTAAAGTGACTGCTTGAAAAGAAATACTCCTCACATAGCTGCCTCAAATGAATTTTACCAAGAGCTTTAAAAGGCAAAGAACGCAGAAAAACTATATCCTAGTAAGCAAATGTCAGGGGGAAGTAAAGCGAGCAAATGGTTCAACACAGTACAAAAACAGACAGTTACCTACACATTTGGCCCCCAGGTTCTAGAACAGGATTAGTTACTGTTCAAAGGGGCTATCTGTGGAGGGGTAGGCAAGGAAGAGACAATTGCAGGCTAAAGCAACAATGGCTCAACCTTAGACAAGACGGAAGACGCAGCCCTGTCAAAAGACCACAGATATAGTCTGAGTGGTATTATGAATTTCCCCTTGCTTATATGTTAATATAGGTAAGCTATACAACAAGAATCAATATAGTTATGTGGTCATTAGTTGAATTTGTCTTCCTTTATGTTAGGACTAGTGAATACCAGTATTTTCTGGGATTGTTTGTGGCTGTATGAGCTATCACTTTTCATTGTTTTTCACAGGCCAACATCATATTGTCCTGAATGCTGAATCTTCTAGGAAAATTAATTTGTTTCTTCCATCAACATGTGCATTCTGATGTATTGAGCTGTTTTATAGTGACATATACAGAAAGGGACTGCTTCTATCAAAATTGTTGGGATGGGATCTTTTTATGTCCTCTAGACTGCCCTTAAATTCCTGAGTTTGAATGATCTGCTTAAGCTCACCATAGCTCCATGGTATAAAGGTGTCCTCCTTTACCAAAAGCTACAAAAATTCACTGTTATTCATTTTGACCAAAGAAATAGGAAGGACATAATCTAATGAAAATTGCCCTGAATCACAGAATGGACTTCCGGAGTCTGGCAATCAGAATGATTTTATTATCACAAACTACAGCTGGAATTCTGGGAAATTTCTCTCTAATTTTCTACTATCCAGTCCTTTGTTCCAGAGGATGTGTGCTCAAGCCCACAGATTTGATAGTGCTGAATTTAATGGCAGCCAATGCCTTGATCATTCTCTCTGCAGGAGTTCCACACACAATTGCAGCTTTTGGGGTGAAGCCGTTCTTGAACAATGTTGGCTGCAGACTCCTAATATGCATGCAGGCATTTGGCCGCAGTGTGTCCATTGGCACCATTTGTCTTTTGAGTGTCTTCCGGGCCATGAGCATCAGATTCAGAGAATCCTGTTGGAAGGACCATAAAGTCAGACCCGTAAATTACACTGCCTGCACCCTTTCCCTACTCTGGGTCTTCTACATGCTGATAAATTTTATTTTCTTTCTGTACCCACTTACCAAACTTAATAGTAAAAACACGACAAGAAAACGAGATTTTGGATACTGCTCAATTGTAGGGCGAAATGAAATCAGTGACTCCCTCTATGCAGCATTGGTGGTGTGCCCTGAAGTCCTGTTTTCTGTGCTCATTGCCTTGTCTAGTGGCTCCATGATTGTCACTTTGTACAGACACAAGCAGTCAGTTCAACACATCCGCAGCAAGCATGCTTCCAGCAGAACCTCCCCTGAGTCCAGAGCCACCCAGAATATCCTGGTCCTGGTGTCTAACTTTCTGGCTTTTTATACTCTCTCCTCAATTTTACAAGGCTGTATTGCTCTTTTGGATAATCATGACTGGTGGCTGACAAATATCACTCGCCTGACTTCTCTATGTTTTCCATCTTTTGGACCCTTTGTCCTCATGAATCATTACACTGTTGTGTCCAGGCTTTCTTTGATCTGGATCAGGAATAAAAAATAATTCCATTTTATTTATGTTTTGTGGAGGATCCAGTTTTTAATGCACCCAACCCCCTCTCAGAAAGTCAATACAGAAGGTTAAGTAAGTACTACCTTGTCTTTCTAAGATTATTCAAATGAATATGGAAGTTTTGACAGCTGGTTCTCTTAGCCAGCCTCCATGAGACTTACACTCCCTAGATTCTTCTCATTGTGCAGCTGATGTGCACATAAGCTAGACAACCAGCTTATAAAACCAATAAAACTGTCCTTCCTGTGGTCACCTTGTTCTCCTCCTGGGAGGGCATCTTGACTGCATGGTGATTTCATAGGTGCCATGATGGACCCACACTCTAACTGAAAAGAACACTGAAACCATGGCTGACCATAAAATTGTGCTTCCAGAGACCCTGGTCCATTCACAACTACTTGCTCTTGCACCAGGACCAGAAAACTTCTTCAGTCTTATTTTCGCCAATAGACTGTTTGCAGTTGTTCTACAGAAATGCCTACTGACTTCTTCTGGACAAACAGTTTGGAAGATACCATCCTTTGTTTGGGTGTTTGTTCTTTCATTGATCTGAGTCTTTCTTGTGGTAGGTACTTCTTAAAATACCTGCTGGAATTCTGCTCTGCATGCATGAGGATATGAGTTCTTTTCAGTAGAATCATCTCTAAAGTTACTACTTCAATCTCTGTCATAAATTAGGATGCCATTGTTCTGTCACTTTATATTCAGTCTCTCTGTTCCGTTCCTTAGGTTTGACTGTTTGTTTTTATGTCAATGTCAATCTGTCCTTTTCACTTTGGCTCTGTCACGTAATTTGATGTCATGTTTTGGGTTTTTCCAGCTTGTGTTTACTCCTTATCTTTGACTTACCTGTTTGAGGTGAGGATTTTCTTGGCTTCATATTAATTGTGATGGTTGATTCTTTACCTGTAAATTATGACACCAGAACTGTCACAGGCATTGCAATAAATCTCTAATTTTCCGTAGGAAAACTACTTCCTTGTTAAGAAATAGACCATTTTTGTCACATAATATCTTTTGATTGTGTTTGTTTGGCATTTTCATCTTTTCTTGAGACAGAGTCTCACACTGTATCCCAGCCTGGCTTGGAACTCTCCATATAACTCAAACTGGGCTTGGACTTAAGGTCATGTTCCTTTTTCAGCCTATGAATACTAGGAATAAAGCCATGTATTACTATGCTCTGCTTGATTCCCATTTCTTTCTTTCAATAAAAAACGATTTATTCTTGAATTATGTGTATTCTTGTTTTGCCTGCATATTTGTCTGTGTACTACATGCAGGGAGTGACTGCAGAGTCTAGAAGAGGTCACCATATCCCCCTGAAACTAGAGTTACAGAGGGTTGTTAGTCTCAGTATAGAGGCTGGGAAGCAAAGCCAGGTCCACTGGAAGCGCAGCCAGTGTTCTTCATTTCTGACCAATCTCCATAACCCCTTTCTCCCAATTCTTGATGAGATGTGTGCAACTATGAACGTTTTTGAAACTCAGTGATGTCAGTGAATTGGCTAAAGCAGCGAGGACCCACTACACCATAAACAACTTGTGGGTATGGCCATATTTTTTAAACATTCTCTCATTAACTGGGTAATATGCACAAATAATCACTTGTTTATTTGGCACAGTTTTGTACTCTGTACCCCACATTGGCCTTGCGCTTACGATTTGGAAGCCTTTGGTCCTGGTTGCAGAGATTATACGCATGTACACCAGCTTTCACTCAAACCTAGCCATATTTGGATGACAAGTAACCAAGTGTGTTTGTGTATGGTTGTGTGTGGGGTGGGGTGTGTGTGTGTGTGTGTACACAGGCATGCACACTCCTGTAGAGACCAGAAGTTGATGTTGAATATCTTCCTAAACCACTCTCCAAAGTATATCTGGGACAGGGTATTTCAATGAACTCATTGTAAAATGTTAACTCCAACAAATTCTTAACACAAAATATCAAGGAAATGTGGTCCACCATGAAAGACAAAACATAAGAATAATAGGGAAAAAGGTGAAAAGGTTCAGCTCATAGCTTGTTGGAGCCCATTCCCCATGGTAGGATGCCATGCTCAGTCATAGTGCATGGGAGAAGGCCTGGGTCCTGCCCCAACAATTGTACCAGACTATGTTGAATTCTCATGTGAGATCTTACCCCTGAGCAGGAGTGCACTGGGCTTGGCTAGGGGGAGGTGAGGGAGGGTACTGGGCTTGGCTAGGGGGAGGTGAGGGAGGGTAGGAGGAGGTGAGGGGAGTGGGATCAGGGGTGGGAGGGAGAATTGTGGTTGGACTGTAAAATGAAATCAAAAACTAAAAAATGGGGAAAAAAAGAAGTCCAGCTCAAAGGCACGGAAAATATATTCAACAAAATCATGGAACTTTAAGTAACAAACTGAGGACAGCCAAGCACAATGCCAATGGCCTGTAGTGTTTAGGGTTCTACAGTCCATAGATGGAAGACTCTGTTGCAGTCCGTACCATAAACTTGAGTCATAGAGCGTGGAAAAGTCAGGCTGAAATATTAAATACTAAATATTAATATTATAAATATTAAATACTAGATGGTTTCCACAGAGCTGGAAGCATTTATAAATAGTACCCAGATAGGAACCCTGAGAGGTATAACAACCCTGAGAGGTATAACAACAGCAAGCCTGGTGCAATAGTGTCATAAGCATCATGGGAGTAACCAACCACTTCATAATGGAAGTGAAGGCCCACACAACAAGATGGAACCCACATCAAACACCATAACCATGGACAAGAAGGTGTAGCTGGAGAGCTATGTAGACTCTAGGAAAGAACTTAATACTATTATTCTGCTAAATGAACATAGTAATAAATTGCCCAGGAAGCTCCTAATTTAATACTGGGAGATTACTCGATCCCTCATCCCTCATGAGAAAATTTCCTTTTTTTTCAGTCTATGAGATTGACACAGCCCCACAGTCATACTAGAGTCTGAGAATAAGAACCTCTGGAGATCCAAGCTAAAATTGGCGAAGCCACGTCAGACGTTTTTCCCTCAATACTCAGAGATCCCCGTGGAAGAAGAGACAGAGAGGGCGCAAGAAGCAGGGGTGGTAGATGGTTCCATGACAACAGGTTTGTCCAGAGAGAACAGAGCCCTTGCACATGTGAATTCGCATGAGAGGAAGGTGTGCACAAAACCTGCACAGATCAACCTAGACAAAATCCAATCAGACTGGGAGCAGTCAGGGCATTCCCGGTGTAGACAAAGATCTGTTGGCCACAAAAAGGGCTTCTGAAAATCAAAGTGTCCCATCACATTAATGTGACCTTTGAGGACCTTCTCATGCTCTCATAGATGCTCCTATATTAGGCACATACTGGCATCATTCACCAATCTCAGTGCCTGTTTCGTTTTGATTGCTTTTTTTAATGAACACATGACCCTAAGAGGGAATAGTGTTTGGGGGTAAAATTTAGAAAGGAGATGATGTGTGGTGGACTTCACTAACACATATATGTATCTATGTAACACTCAAAGAAATATGCAAGCAGTAAATATTCTAAATTTAAAAAAAAAATAGCTTGACTTGTGTTGAAAGAAGTCAGAGAACCTGACATCCAGTGGGACATTGAGACTTATCTAACTTTCTCAGGAATCTGAACTCAAACTCTCTAGGACCTTCCACAGGCAAACTTCAGGGATGACAAAAACTCAATGCCACTTCAAAACACCTTGTCTCTTTCTAGATATTCACAAAAACTTTTTTTATTAGTCCAAATTAGGAACAAGCTTGCTTCACGTGTCAACACAAAAACTTTTAAGTGTCTTTGTTAATTAGAAACTGGAAAATATTTCATCTCCCACAATGATTTGGTCTCACAAAGCCAGCTTCCGACGGCGGGTTAAATGAAAATTGCAATTCTGGAGAGAGATGAGGTCAGAGAGTCAAAGACCTCTACCTCAGTGTTGAGCTGACCTCACACAGCGCTGGTTACTAAAGAATCTGAATCTGCCCCATGAGTCCACCATCCTGCAGAGGCCAAAAGCCAGGTAAGGACTCTGTGTTGCAGTCTGAGCGGCAGATCCGGCAATGAAGAGAAGCCTGAGGATGTGCTCATGTCTGGTGAAGGGAATCTGGGACAGAAACAGATCTGTGGAACAGACGGAACACACAGAAGAACAATATCACATCTAAGAGGTTAGCCAACGAATACGTACACCTAATCTTGTGCTGGTCACTGTTAGTACTTACTGTAATATAAATCTCTGACTGAGGGTGACTGTGGGTACCACCAGGGTATTGCAATCCATCTGGGAGAATGCTGGAGGTTTCTGGTAATATGTGAATGAGATAATTTACCATATTCTGTGTGATTTTTAGGCTATCTTTGCAGTTCAACTGAGCAAAGCGTCATGCCCATATTAAACATTCCACTGGAAATGTAAAAATTACACTGTCCTGGAAGATTAATCATGGGGATCTGTTTCTGGCCTGCAGGGCATTCTTGTGCAACACTACATTTATAAGTCAGAGTCAGTAACAGAGTCTGTATAGAACGACCCATGGTATAACAACAGGCTTGAAACTTCCCTCTTGAACTTGGGAAGGATACAGAGGAGGCAAGTTATGAGTTAAATGCCAATAGTATGAGTATTGGCAAGGACAGCTTCTCTCCGCTGGTTGAATCACACTCTAATGTTAAGCACAAAGTGCTGACGTGACTTTTTTCACTCTTTGATCCTCATAGATATTAATACATATGGGGCCATGTCTCACGGCAGGCCACGACTCTACCCATCAGCTATGTCTGTATTCATGCTTAGCTTACTTTTATTTAAGATTTGTCAATGTTTAAGTTCTTACATTCTTCAGGTTCCTTATCATCTCAATTAAATCTTTTCTATTTGAGTGTATTGGAGCTTTTATTATACTAGATTCATCCATATAAGAAGTAGTGAGTATACACAGAATTGTCAAGGAAGCGATTTAGTAACTTAATGTTCTTCTCATGGTTTTCAGCACACAGGAG